ACGACACAGGCGATTAGAACATACGGTCATGACGCGCTTGAAGGCACCTGGCTGGCGACCTGCGGACCAACGAAGGCACTTGAAGCGGTCGTACGCCCAAAGATGGTGGATAATGAAAACGAGAAACTGAGGGGAAATCAGCATACAGGCATGATATATGGGGGGCGCAAACGCACGAGAATGGAAAGGAAGGACCAGAGCGAGAACGCGCTGGCGGAAGCGTTACTCATGGTGTGGACGAGAAAGGGCGGAGCACCCGCTGGGGGCGTAGGGGCAGACGAGAGGGAGGTGGTAGTGGCGAAGAGGCAAAAACACTGGCTGGGAGGGTGGCATTGGCGGGACGGGAGCAAAGCAAATGCCTGCGTCCGTGGGCGCCAAGCTCTTACATAGCTTCTTCGCCCGTGGGATTCCAATATTCAATTCTGCCAGTGAGGCCGCGCGCCCTTCCGAGCAGAGCCTACAAGCAGCTACGGACAACCGTGTCTGCCTGTTCGGTCTTACTCTTGCACACCACTGGTCCTGCGCCCCTCAGGGAGCTCATCACGCCCTCAAATCCACAGCTCCAAGTCTATTTATGGGTGATGGAACGACGGTTGTTTTACTGCGGGTATTCTGTCGCCCACATCACGAGAACATCTATCTGTCATCAGCTGCTCCGAACATCAATCCCGAAGGCGTGAACGTTGAAAGTTGGACGTTGAACATTGAACACTTCTGTCTTGCTTTCCAGTGAGCTCTTGGTGAGCTCGTCTTCGCGTGCGGTCTGTGCGGGTCTCGTCGTTCAACGTAACGTTCAATGCTTTTTTTTCAGACCGAGTTGACTTCGGGCGGGTGCTGGAAGCGTCCGTTACCACTCCATGCAATAGCCCATGGCCGCGCACAGGTACATACGGTCATCAAGCATCGCATACACCTGGCAAGGAACGGCAGCGAACAGCATTGATGCGAGACGGAGCCTGGTGAGCTATCTCTGTCAATATTCCGCGCGGTTTGTCCCCGAGCCTCAAGATTCGCAGAAGCGGGACATCTCTGCGAGCGAGTGTCCGTCAGCCTCCAGTGCAGCAATGGTCGGGCGGATGGAAAATCCGGGCTCGCAGGAAGCCGTGCCCCACATATGGGCGCGAGTTGTGGTACTGTTCCCAAGTGTTCCCACCACTCCGCGAACGCCGTTGAGCGCTGAGTACTGCTGACGTTCCTGAGGTAGGTTCGCGTCCGCGTCGACCACCTCATTCCATTCAATCCCGACGGGTGGAACACAATGCGCCGTCGCGTATCATTGTCCAGCGCGCATTGGCGCACCCGATCGCCGAGACCAGCTGCTGCTCGTGTGGCCAGGGATCGAGTATGGCCTTCAGCGCGGACTCGTCGTCCGCTACAAGGTGAATCATCTCGTAGTGAATCATCTCGTACATCCGCTTGGTGACGAACGTGATGCCCATCCCCCCAACCACCATCTCTGCGTTGTACGAGACCGCGTGTCCGCACGCGCGGCCCTTGCTGACTAGTAGTCCGTTCGACCGGTACGCGCGAAATGCGGTCACAGTCGGGGTCGCGGAGCTCTTGTCTACCCGATAGTTGTTCACGGGGCTCACATCGGCTTCTGCCACCTGGCGAAGTCCACCTTGCATTGCAATGCTGTCGCTGATGCATGCATGACGTGCCCAAGACGCTCCGACGTGAAAGGTGGGTTTCCCAATGCTGGATCGGCTGTGTTCCCATCACTCGTAACATCTAAGCGTGAGCCAGCAGGTCATCCAAAACAACAAGAAGGCTCAGTGCGGTTCAAACTCCAACGTATCAGCAGTGTTCGGATGTGGCTCAGGGTATAGAACATCCGGGACCCACAAGCCGATTTTCGAGAGCCACGATGCCAATAAATAAGAGACATGCTGCTGCTGAAGCAGATAGCTACGAGACACTATTGAATCAGTGGATCGTGCCCCTTCTGGTGTGACACAATGTGGTAAACTTAGAAGGCGACGCCACACGGTAGGTACCAGAGCTAGTGAGATAGGCAAGGTGAGTGAGAATCCCTCAATACAACACCCAGACTCCGACATGTGAGTTGTGCAGGTGCTTTGAGGTTATTCAATGGCCCAAACTTCAAATCGGCTGTCGATTGCATCTGAGCTGTAGCCGCGATTATCTATATATCGCCCTCCTAGTGACCATGACCCTGACTATCAATACCCAGCCTAATCTCGGTAGAATTTTTTCACCAGCATCCACAGCTAAGTTAAACGTCCTTGGTCCCCAATCCCGTACCGAGATAACCCTCGGGTCGGCGTCGTTGCGGAGCGCTACTAGCTCTTACGTACAGTCTGGCGCCTCAGGAGTCAGGAGTCAGTTCCTGGGACGCCGGACAGATGCGCCCAACGCCATCCATGTCTTCTGGTGTCACACAGCAACGCCCCCATGTGCCCCTTGCGCGACGCCTTCGAGGGGTAAGAGCAGACTCCAAAATGCGGAACGGAGTGGAGTTCATCGGTATGTGTTATCCTCCAGATGCCGCCTCTCGGCTCTGGCACATCCGCGAGTCGCTGATTATTAATTTCGTCCACATTCCGACTCCCACTATTCAATTCACTACGACGCTGCACAGCCCGATTGTCTATATGGCTCCCTTGGCGTGCTGTCTGCCGTCAACGGCACCATACGCCGCAAGCACCGGAGCGCACCCGCTGATTCTCATCCCGGGACGTCTCACTGCTTTGCCAATGTGGGCGTATCTTGAATGGCACGCAGACACCGGGCTGCTCAAAAGCCTGAGTGCGGGCATCGCAAAAGTGCCAACCCATACGCTGCACACCCCCAAGTAACATCTCTGCTCCGCACTACACGAAAATGAGTGTAGACGTCCCCATCGCTGCCTACGAGAGATTGTGAGTCAGATTCTCCTGAGGCCGTTCTTCAACTTTGTTGACACTGCTTCGTCCAGGATCTTCGAAAACTATTGCATTGTGGCATCCAGCGGCAAGTCATCTTCACTTTCGTAGAAGATGTGCATGCTCACTCCACCCTCAAGTGCTGCTCTTCTATGACGTTGCGATCACTTTCCAACTGGAGGTCCAGCGTATCTGGCGGCGGAAGCACTCGGGTGCTACATGGATCTTCCTGTTCATGCGCTATAGTGCCGTCATCGAGCGCGTCTTCTTTATCCTCGAGGTCATGGTGTGGTATTCAACAGACGCAGTGCGTAATCTCCCGACTCTCTTAAGTTCACACGACGCTCACAACAGAGTTTCCACTACTAGGCCTGCGGCGGGATCAATCATACAGATGATACGCTCACCATCTTGAATTACCTCTCCATCGCTGCTTTCACAGCCCTCCGGATATATGCCATATGGCTCCGCGATTGGAGGCCATTGGTCGTAGTGATACCTCTGTCTCTCGTGAGACCTGTGGAATATCTCGTGGGTTTTTTTTCGTTTTCGCTTCTTCGTGCATGACGCATAGCTGACCCCGAAAATCCGACCTTGTAACTCTAGTATATCAGTACCATGAACACGGCTTTACAAGGCGGACCTCTTATTGGCTGTATCAACATGCGATCCCCAGTTGTCAGTAATTTGGTGCTCGCAAAGTGAGTGCCTTATCACAGCCTCTGATTCAAGCACTTACGCCGCGCCACAGTTGTAAGATCTCCCAACTAAATAGTAAAAGGGTAATTCACAGCACTCATTGTATTTCACCAGTGTCGACGGCTGGCAGAGCAGCGACGATCGCGTGCGATGTGATCCTCATCGTTTTCACTTGGATCAAGACCTTCTCTCTATTGCGAGATTCGAAACGAACGAACATGCGCGACACGATTGCCAGGCCCTTACTGCGCGACGGCACGGCATACTTTCTGTGTGCAAATCCCACCCGATGTCCCCAGTTGGACTCTGACGATCACGATAGCATCATTCTCGCCGTTCAGGTCATCACAATAGCCGCAGAATATGCTGCAACCGTGAGCGCTTGCTCCAGGCCTCTCCCCCCGTCCATTCATCTGACCGCGCTGAACTTAGAGCACATCCATCTGGGTCGTCTGGCCGTACTTCGAACAAGCGTGCGCTACCCTCGCTAATCTCCATTCTCTCCCGTACTCACGACGTGCCGCGGGTCCGCAGCCTGACGGTCATCTTCTTCTCGCGGTTCATGCTCGACCTCCGCGGCGTCTACTACGCCCCGCAGGGTGACGGCGGCGCGAACACCTTCCCCGCGCCAGGCGGCAATTGCAATTCGAGCACCTTCTCCGACCTCCACTTCGCCACCCGACCCAGCGCGGACAACGAGACGCACGGCGCGCGCAGCTTCAGCGCGCGGGTCGTGGGCAACATGGGCGCGACGCTCTCGACGACGCTCTGGGACGGCTCGTCCGCGCGCTCGGAGCCGCACCTGCGGACACCGATGAGCGCCGGCCCGCGCGACGACCTCGAGGCGGCGGCGAAGGCGGGGCTGTGGGAGATCGAGGAGGTTGAGCGGGAGGAGTGGCGCGTGTGCGAGGAGGACGGGGACGAGCGGGTGACGTATGCGGTGCACCCGTTCCAGGTCGGCCTAGGAGCGGACTCCGTGCGCCACCCGGGGCGGAGGGCCGCACCGGAGCTCTTGGCTTCGAGCTGGCGGAGGTGCGCGTGGGGAGGGCGCGATTCGAGGAGCCTATCAGCCCACAGAGTCCGGAAAGCTCGGTGAGTTTGAGCTTGTTGGACGTCGGCGAAGCAACGCACTGACAGCGTTGAGCTCGCAGAACATGGGATCTAGTGCGGTCTGAGCGGAATATACTCTTGTAATCCGTATCGAGGCCGTCTTCCGTGTACCATCACTTAGTATCACCCCGAATCTTTTCCAGGCTTCCGGGCATCCACAAAAAGGGGCTCGATTCGCCTGCGAGCCAGAAGCGAAAGGGTCTAAGAGTGAGCGTATGTCGGACGTCTCTAGCAAAGTCCGCGAATAAAGAATAACAATAAAATAAGAATGCTGCTAAGCATGATGTCCGTGCACATATATACACATCACGACCCAAGTTTCTTCGACACACTCTGTCCCGCGGCGCCGCCCGAAGGCAGCGACACGCTCACCTTCACACTGTCCGAGCCGTTCGCGAACCCGGTCGGCCGCGTTCCTCCCGCTGCCGCCGCGACCGTCACGTCCACCGAGCTCGTCGTCTGGGTGGGGTCCGAAACCGTCACCCCGCCCGTGTCCATCCGGTACAGCACCACCGAGCCCGCCGACGCCGACAGCGTCAGCGCCGCCTGCCCGCTCCCCGGCGTGAACGTCACGTTCCCGCCCGCGGCGTCCCAGAAGACGGCGGCGAGGAGCTTGGTGCCCGCGTCCCACACCGCGCTCACGTGCGCGTCGTTCTGAACTGTAGCGAGGTTCGTGAGCGACGCCGCGACCTTGGTCGGCAGCGCGTCGCGGGTCGTCGCGGGGAACACCGTGTACGCCATCGGAGCCTCGAGCACCGCATCGGAGCCGCGGCCGTGCCCGACCCACGCGGAGAAGAGGTCCGCGGACTGCACGCCCGCGGCGGAGATGCCGAGGCGGCCCCAGTCGCCGGTGCGGGTGCCCCAGTCGACGGAGACGTGGGCGCCGACGGGGAACGCGTACCCGACGTTGTCGTGCCAGAGCGTGCGGGCGTTGCTGAAGTTGCCGCCGACGGAGAGCGTCTGGCCGTCGAGGATGACGTCGCCCGAGTGGCGCTTCTGGTCGAGGACGGAGATGACGGGGTGCTCGGAGGAGGCGGAGGCGGAGAGCTTGGAGAGCATTACGTGCTGCACGTCGTTGTCGAGGAAGAACCACGCCTTCTGGAACGCAAGCGCGCCCGTGGTCGGGTTCGTGTAGCGCATCGCGGCGGCCCCGATCGTGCCGTCCGAGGCGCCACCAACAAAGTCTTCCTTCCCGGCCACCTTCGCGGTGTCGCAGGTCAGGGGCGTGTTGTTGTAGTCGGTCGTCGTGCCGGGGATCACTGGAGAGGGCGTTAGAGTTAAACAGGATGAGAGGAGCGGACCGCGCACAATTCCAATCCCACATGCCAGCAATGTCCTCGTACTCGTCTCCCTCGAGGTAGGTATACAGTGTCCCGTCAGACAAATGGAATCCGAAGGGCTGCTCGCGCGTCAGCACGTGTCAGGAAAAGGTCGAGGAACAGCTGACGTTTTGGTTGTTGAGGCACTCCGTGTTGAGCGTCCGCGAAGAGTACATGCGGAGCGTTGAAACATAGCCAGGCCCGCGGTGCACCATGTAGTCGTTGGCGTAGAACATACGGTTGCCCTTGACACCGCCGACGTTCGCGTCCGTGGTGTTGGCGCTGAGCGCGGAGAAAGCACCGTTGAGGGCGTCCGAGTTCCAGAACTGGCCGAGCTCGTTGATCCACGTCGTGTTGATCAGGAGGCCTGCGCTCGCCCTGAGCAACGTCAGTGAGGGTTTCTGAGGATGACTGCACATTACTCACTGCTCATCTTTGACGGTGAAGGTGAGCATGCGACCGAGCACGTTCTGCATCCAATTCAGCCGAGATCAGCAAAGACCTGCATTGATTGTGACGTACGAAGTCCCAATGAACGGTGCCCGTTTGCGCGTTCCGGTAAACCATCCACATGTCGCCGTCGACGAGAGTCTCGAACGCGCTCTTGCTCTCGCTCGGCGCCGCGAACTGCGTGTTAGCCGCGACAATCTCGAGCGCGAGCACGTCGTTCGCGTAATCCTTGCCGTAGTTACCGTTGTAGATGATGCCCTCGTGCTGCCCGAAGCTGCCGTCGCCGCGGATGCCGTCCGCGCGGAGGCTGTTTTGGAGCACGACCTCCTTGTGGACGTGGTCGTAGCCCGACGCGATCGCGGCCTCGTTCTGGGTGAGCATCCCAAGCGTGATGCCGCTCTTGGCGATGTCGAGGATGTTCGCGCCCGCGAGGAAGCTCTTGCCGGAGCTGAAGACGTCGAACGCGCGGCTGAGGAACTTGGTGCAGTTCCCGGACTGCGTGGCCGACAGGGAGTCGTTCCCGAGCATGAGGCAGGTGTCGCCGACGAGCACGGTGGTGCCGATAACCTGCGCAGGGGTGAGCGGTCGCGGAGGGGGACGAGCGCGAGGGCGCGGACGCACGTTGGAGAACCAGTTCGAGTTCCAGAAGCCGGGCGTGCCGCACGGGCAGCTGCCCTTCCCGCCGTTGGTGAGGCAGTCGGGCTGCGCCATGTCGTTCGCGAACCAGAAGTCCATCGCGCGCGACGCGGTGGCGAGCACCTTGGGGTCATTCACGAAGCTCTCCGCGCCGGGGACGCCACCACGATAGGCCGCCGCGAGGGTCTCTGCGACGCGCACGGCTTCGAATCATCGAAGTTTGCGAGACGACGAAGGCAGTGAACGCACCGATGCGGACCCAATGGTCCTCCGCGGGCCAGTTCGCCCGGCGTCCGTCGCAGCCAGTAGTGTAGTCGATCTCTGAGTCGGGCCACTTGCCGTCATCGCCAATGGTGCTGAGCCTGGAAGGAGATCAGCGCTGGAGTTCTTCAGACACCGCCAATTGGACGGACCAGGATGAAATGCCGGGGACGAGCGTCATGTTTATGGCACCGATGTCGAGTGCGATGCGGCGCTCGCGCATCGTGTTGATGTCGGCGTTCACGTCCCTCGCGACAACGTCCCGGCTTAGGGCAGGAGCCCTTGTGCGCCGGTGGGACCGGCTCCAGGGGGAGTGTCGCGGTGCATGAGAGGGGAAGATGGAATCGAGAAAAGAGGAAGAAGAGTAGAACGAAGGGGTGGAAAGAACTGGAGAAGAAACGAGCGAGAGGAAGATGACGAGAGTCGCGACACCGAACATGGTGGCCGAGGAGATACCGAGCACCAGCACGGGGAGGGAGGGGGAACACGAAGGAGAGGTAGAAGGGGAAGAAGAAAGTCCACCGCGACCCTTGCACGGGGCCTATATTCGGCGGGATCGAAGGCAATGAGGCATGGCTGCCACGCCGACCAAACGAAAGCGAGGGAAAAAGTTCGATCGTGATTCCTCCGGGCCAGGCGCTGGTATGGCGGCGCACGATGAAGTCCATACGCATCATCCCATCAGGAGAGAACCCAGGAACAGTGTGATACTGGGGCCATCGCGTTGATGTAGCTGAGACTCGACTGAAGTCTGAAACGCTGAAATCAAATTTACCATCATTAGTACACTCTAATGTTACGTTAAGCCTTGAGATGTTTTCTCTTTCAGAGAATCAGAGTCAGACCAAGTAAGTAACAGCCGAGAGACTGAAGCCTAGGACGTTGCTACGAACAGCCACCCACGTGGCTGTCCGGGGCAACCTGGGCGCTCGCGTCGTTCTTCCCACTCCTCCCGAACCGCCGCGCAATTTCTGAGACGAGGAAACCGAGAAGTACAGTCATGCAGGATCAGCGTCATGCTGTCAAGGCAACGACACATGGCTCAAATATTCATCGAAGAAGTCTCTAGGGCTATCTTATCAGCAACTTCAGCCGAGCGGACGAAGATGCCGACAACACAAGCAACTCCGGAGACCGAGAACACTCATCCTTCCAGAGCGTGGATCCTTAGAAGCCTGGCCAGGGGTTCGGGGAAATACTAAGCGATGGTACATGGAAGGCCGGCCTCCACAGGGAGTACAAGGGTATAAGCATTCTGCTCAGACTGCACTAGGTCCCATGTTCTGCGAACTCAACGCCGTCAGTACGGTGCTTCGCCGACGTTCAGCAAGCTCAGACTCACCGAGCTCTCCGGACTCCGTGGGCCGACAGACCCCTCGAACCCCGCATCGGGACACGCCCTCCCCACGCCCACCTCCGCCAGCTCCAAGCCCTCCGCCCTGTGGCGCACGCAGTCCGCCCGGAGGCCGACCTGGAACGGGTGCACCGCGTACGTCACCCGCTCGTCCTCGTCCTCCTCGCGCACGCGCCACTCCTCCCGCTCGACCTCCTCGATCTCCCACAGCCCCGCCGCCGCCGCCGCCGCCTCGCCGGCGCTCGGGTGCGTCCGCAGGTGCGCAGACGAGCCGTCCCAGAGCGTCGTCGAGAGCGTCGCGCCCATGTTGCCCACGACCCGCGCGCTGAAGCTGAGGGTGCCGCGCGAAGCGCTCTCGGCGTTCGTGCTGGGTTGGGTGGCGAAGTGGAGGTCGGAGAAGGCGCTCGAATTGCCGCCTCGGGCGGGGGAGGTGTGCGCGCCGCCGTCGCCCTGTGGGGCGTAGTAGACGCCCCGGAGGTTGAGCATGAAACGCGAGAAGAAGATGACCGTCAGGCTACGGACCCGCGGCATGCCGTGAGTATGGGAGAGGGTGGAGATGAGCGAGGGTAGCGCACGCTTGTTCGAAGTACGGCCAGACGACCCAGATGGATGCGCCCTACGAGGCGTTCGGCGCAGTCAGATGGATAGACAGGGGAGAGGTCTGGAGTAAACTGCTTACACTTTCAGTATATTCTGAGACTATGGTGATGACCTGAACGGCGAGAATGATGCTATCGTGATCGTTAGAGTCGAACTGGAGGACGCCGGGTGGGATTTGCGCACAGAAAGTATGCTGTGCCGTCGCGCAGCAAGGGCTTGGCAATCGTGTCGCGCATGTTCGTTCGTTTCGAATCTCGCAATAGAGAGAAGGTCTTGATCCAAGTGAAAACGATGAGTATCACGTCACACGCGATTGTGGCTGCTCTGGCAGCCGTCGAAACTGGCGAAATACGATGAGTGCTCTGAAATCAACCTTTAAGTTGGGAGATCTCACAGCTGTGGCGCGGCGTAAGTGCTTGAATCGGAGGCTGTGATCAAGACACTCACTTTGCGAGCACCAAATCACTGACAACCGGGGATCGCATGTCGATGCAGCCAATAAGAGGTCCACCCTGTAATGCCGTGTTCAAGGTACTGATATACTAGAGTTACAAGGTCGGATTTTCGGGGTGAGCTACGCGTCATGCACGAAGAAGCGAAAACGAAAAACTCACAAGATATTCTATGGGTCTCACGAGAGAAAGAGGTATCACTACGACCAATGGCCTCCAATCTCCAAGCCAAATGGCGTATATCCGGAAGACTGTGAAGGCGGCAACGGAGAGGTAATTCAAGATGGTGAGCGTATCATCTGTATGATTGATCCCGCCGCAGGCCTAGTAGTGTGAACTCTATCGTCAACGTCATGTGAACTTGAGAGAGTCGGGGGATAACATACTGCGTCTGTTGAATACCACACCATGACCTCGAGGATAAAGAAGACGCGCTCGATGACGGCGCTATAGCGCATGAACAGGAAGATCCATGTAGCACCCGAGTGCCTCCGCCGCCAGATACGCTGGACCTCCAGTTGGAAAGTGATCGCAACGTCATAGAAAAGCAGCACTTGAGGGTGAAGTGAGCACGTGTACGTCTTCTACGAGGTGAAGATGACTTGCCGCTGGATGCCACGATGCAATAGTTTTCGAAGATCCTGGACGAAGCAGTGTCAACGAAGTTGAAGAATGGCCTGAGAGTGCGACTCACAATCTCTCGTAGGCAGCGATGGGGATGTCTACACTCATGTTCGTGTAGTGCGGAGCAGAGATGTTGCTTGGGGGGTGTGTTTTGCAATGCCCGCGCGCAGGCTTTTGAGCAGCCCGGTTTCTGCGTGCCATTGAAGAATTGGAAAAGGAATGAGACGTCCCGGGATGAGAATCAGCGGGTGCGCTCCGGTGTTTGCGGTGTACAGCGCCGTTGACGGCAGCCAGCACGCCGAGGGAGCCAGATAGGGAATCGGGCTGTGCGGCGTCATTAGCAGTGAATTGGATTGTGGGAGACGGAATGTGGACGAAATCAGCGCTCACCGAGCGAAAGGTGGCATCCGGAAGATAACTCATCCCGATAGACTCCACTCCGTCCCGTCTTTTGGACTCTGCTCGCACTCTTCGCAGGCGTCATGCAAGGATCGCATGCTAGAGGCGTTGCCGTGCGACACGAGAAGACAAGGACGGCGCCGGGTGCATCTGTCCAGCATCCGGAGAACTGAGGCACCGGAACGTACGTAAAGGCCTGGTCGGCTGTTCGCAGGACGGGCCGCGGGACGGGTCCCCACGCCCCCCGACCCGACCAACAGCCTCGGCCACCGCGCGTCTTGCCATGGTTCAACCAGATTGGCCATACCAACAACACCTTCCACGATATTCTCGCCATACACGCCCCTCTCCCCGTCAACATCTAAGTCATCACAGCCACAGTCAATAACGAACCTGTCACATTCCTCGATGAGCTGCAGCGACACCCGGAACAGAGGCGTCCCCGGCCATCCCGTTGCACACCCTGCGCAACTTGCTGTCCTTCAACACACCGAAGATCTCGAAGGGAGCAAAATGAATCCTGCGAGCTGCGTGGAACGCGGAGTGGGGGACCTTCTGTCTTCTATCTGGACATCGAGCGGGCCCGAAAGTTTCGCCGTTGTGCCATTACAAGACACACAGTCTCCCCAATGTTCTTAACTTCGCCTAGTCTCCTTCTAGGACGCGCACCCATACCCATATCACAAGAGACGCAGAGTCTCATGTCGTGCCCGGTCGATCCCATTTCGCCTTTGCTCGTCCATGACACCCCACCTGGGCAGGCAAGATCTTCTGGTTGATTTGATACAAGCGAGGTGCACAAGAGCGATAGAGTACAAGAGTGATCCGTACATACTCGAGAAGCCATCGTCCGTCCAATGCGTAGCATTTCTCCTGACGCCACCGCACCCCTCACGGCAAACTGAGCACGGTTTGCATGAACTGATCGTAGTTGATCTGTACCCATCCGTCGCGGTCCGTGTCGAGGCGCTGGAAGGACTCCGAGATCTGCTTGATCGCGACGCATGCGCGGACGAAGCGGTCGAAGGTGATGCCTTGCGCCTGCGGCGGTGCGCCGTGTGCACCGGTTCGCGGGCCCGAGCCTGGCGTCACGTCTACCCCGTGCGGGTAGACCAGTCAGCGGTGTGCACAGGGAACGATGCTGAGAGAGCGCGCAAAGAGGGAGAACAGCAAGTCATGAACCTCCAGCTGATCAAGGATGCGCGAAGACGTCGCATCTTATCTCAGCCGGCTTGGACGGATCCAGGGGTGGGGAGGGTGGCGCGCAAGCAAATGGCGGAACGAGCGGACTCACCGTACTTGGCCTCTACAAGACGCAGGAGCTGAGGGGAGAGGTTGTACCCAAACTGGCGGAGCGCCTCGGTGAGCTCGTTGGTGTCGATCGAGCCGGACCGATCGCGGTCAAAGTGGCGGTAGACGTTCTGCCAGTCCTTGATGTACTTCCATAGTCCCGCGAACTCGTGGAAGCCGATGGTACCAGAGCGGTCGGTATCCTACAAGGGCCAGACATGTGCGAGGATGAGATGGTGAAGTAGTGGTTGAGGATGATGAACGTACGAAGATAGTCATGAGCATCTTGACCGTGTCCAGGTCGAAGGCTGTGGAGACAGACCACACTCGCGTTAGCACGAGCTCGCGCACGCGACACCAGCCTGAGGACACTCACGAGTCCAATCTCCGTTGATCAGTGCCTTCTCTATACACGCCCAAGCGATCTATGAGCATCCAGCGCGACCAACGCCACTCGCCACTCACGGAGCTCATGGACAGAGATGTGACCAGATCTGTCGATATCGACGGCCGAGAACCAGCTCCAAAGCCTGGGCATTCACGCATCCAATAAGCAGAGGGTATACATCGGTGACCAAGTCACTTACTGAGGGTCCACGCCGGGAGGCGGCCCAGCGGGAGCAGGGGCGAACCCGCCAGGAGCACTACCGTACCCTCCTCCACCGCCGCCGTAGCCTCCACCGCCGTAGCCGCCGCCACCACCTCCGTAGCCGCCACCGCTATATTGGGATTGAGGACCCTATCACAGACGACATGATGGTATCAGGTTGAAGTGAGAGGGCTGCGCGCCGGGAAAGGAGACGCACTCCGTAAGACATGTCTGTGCCGTCTTCAAACGCGGGGTTCGTGAACAGGGGTTGGGGTGGGGTGTGAGAGTAAGAGCGAGAATGAGGAGCGTCGGAACTCACGCGCGCTGGGGCTTTAAGGCGCGCTCGAAGGGAGCAGTACAAGACAAGAAGCACCGGCGGGGGCGGTGGACAGTGCCAAGGGGTGCGGCCGGCTAGGCTCGATCATCCAGCCGTTCTCGTCGTGACCTCCTCTAACGGCTGGTCAAACTCGTAGGGGAGCCTCGCAGGAGACCCATAAAAGGCAATCACGTGATGGGGATGCCCTCCCTTCGCTCCACTCCCCCGCCCAAACGGGCTTGTTGGGGTACGCCGCCCTCCCCAAGCCCTGTGCGCGAGCTCGCGCGCGAGCCCCCGCGGTGCGCGCGCGCGGCCGGTCGCGCATAGGCGTCTCGGGTCTGTCGCCCGCGATGCTCGACTCTCTCTCCTGTGTCGCGTTTACAATACCCCACTCTCCAGCCAGGTCTGGAAGCTCTCTGCTCTCTGAAATCTCGGGAGCTGCCAGGGAACACTGCTCCTCACCCATGAGTCTGCCCAACGTTTCTGGTTTACAAGGGTCGACCTCGCACACCCACTTCGGATGCCCGTGCCGCTGTCGGCGCATTCCACGGCTGTCCGCACAGTACCTAGATCATTGTACATTGAATTTTAACAGAGAAGCTACTGTACTTTAAGCTGTTTCATTATTTGATTGCCACATCTCCTGGACCCGTCACCCGGAGAGCAAGTTGAGCATCGCAGATTCGCATGTGCAGGAGCGGCAGATACAAGTTCACAACGGGCCCGCGAGACGCCTATGCGCGACCGGCCGCGCGCGCGCACCGCGGGGGCTCGCGCGCGAGCTCGCGCACAGGGCTTGGGGAGGGCGGCGTACCCCAACAAGCCCGTTTGGGCGGGGGAGTGGAGCGAAGGGAGGGCATCCCCATCACGTGATTGCCTTTTATGGGTCTCCTGCGAGGCTCCCCTACGAGTTTGACCAGCCGTTAGAGGAGGTTACGACGATGACGGCTGGATGATCGAGCCTAGGCCACAGCGGCCTCTGCGATCGCGGTGGCGCGCGCAGTTCTGCGTTTTGCTCCTGGCCACATCATCGACTGTAGTTGTGAGCTTCTCACACCGCGTAACCACTCCCGGTTGACGAGACCACGAATATCCACAGGCATGGCCACCGTCGACACCCTTCCCTTTCCTGCCTTCGCGGGCTCCATCCCTTCCGCAGATCGTGCTTCACTGTCAGGACTTTCGGACGCTGCCATTCGCGCATACGTCGCCGCTAAGGCAGAGGAGTACCGCGAGATCGCACTGTCTATGCTCTCTCTCCACAACTCAATCGCGCCGATCCATCGCGCTTTCCCGGCGGAACTCCTCTCCGAGGTTCTGTCACACTGCTGGCACGACATGCGCAGTGTCCGCCTCATGCACGTCTGCCGTCTCTGGCGCGCAACGGCACTCAAAACCCCGCAACTGTGGGCAGACGCCGCCGCAGCTCCGGGCACCCAGCTCACATTCAACAAGGCCAGGATTGAGGCGCAGTGTCAAGACCTGGAGGAGGTCCGCATCTCGTTTGCGGCTTCTGCGATAAAACTGTCGTCTCCAACACCGCTGCGCCTTAAAATTCATTTTCTCCCCAGTGCTCTATCCCAGACACTTTCGTCACACAGCCCCCGACTCGTCGATTTGTTGGTTCGCCTCCAAAGCGCCGCCCAGTTAAAGTCTCTGCGCACTTCTTGCCAACGGCGTACCCAACCTCACCGTCCTCGGCATCGCGTTTCCCGGATATACAGGGATGTACCGAGAGTGGCTGGCGCCGGGAACCAGAAGCCACTACGACGACATCGACGAGCACGATGACCACAGGAACCTTTCCAAGGAACTCACGAAATGGAGCTCGGGTGTTCAAGGTCTGATCGCGGACACTCCTCGTCTCCAGACCCTCCGATGCGTTCCGATAGATCTCGCATCTCACTTCGCATGCCCCACCGTGCGCGACATGTGCATCACTCCCGCAGTATTCAACCCGAACCACCTGGAGGCCTTCGTTCGCACGTTGAAGAACACTCCGGACCTCGTGCGTCTCGATCTGTACATGGAGAACAGGAGCAATACCCGGCTCAGGCCAGACGCCCGGGTGGGCGGCCAGCCCCGTCGACCTTCCAGCGCTACGGATGTTGGTGTTCAACCTCAACGGCAACATGAACACGGCACAGCACCTGGATCTCATCTCCATCTCGTCTTCCGTCAGCATCAACCCCATGCAAGGCGACCTTGGCCTTTTGCACCTCTACCAAGACCTCCCTTCTCGCTACACCCCACTCATCCAGTCTCGGGTCCAGTCCGCAAGCACCGTGCACATCTGCGACTCTTACGACCAGTGGGAGATCCCCACCGCCGTCGTCTCAACGTCGAAGGACGACGAGGAGCTCGTCCGCTTCACCGTCTCCGCCGACTCGCACGGAACGCCCCCTATCTGGTCTCCTTCGACCTGATCGAGACCTTCCGCGACGCGGGCGCGGCAGTCACCCGCCTCGTCCTCCACTAGAACTGGGCGACCCAGACCCCGAGAGGGCACCCCGACTTCTTCCGCGCGTTCCCGCACCTCACCTCGCTCGACCTCGCCGGCCCCCGCGCCCACCGCGTCGTCAAGGTGCTCCAGCACCCAGACGGCAACAGCCGCCCCGACGCGCCCGTGTGCCCGCGGCTGAGGACGCTCAGAGTCGCGTTCGCGCTCAACCGCGGGGACGACAAGTCGGCGTCGCGCATGGCGTGGGCGGCGCTGAGGGCGCGCCCCGCGGGGTGGCGGGAGACGGTGCTCCGCGGGATGCCGGCGCGGGTCGCGGCGGTGGTGGCGCCGCTGGAGCACCGTGCTGCGCGCGGGCTCCGGCTGGGGCGGCTGGAGTGGGAGGATCGGGAGTGGGACGCGACGTTGAGGCTGGAGCTCCCGCCGTCAGCGGTGGTGGGGACGTACGTCCCGGGCCCTGGGCTGTTTGACCAGAAGGAGCTCGAGAAGCTGGTCGACGGGCCGGTCGTCTTTGGGGGGTTCACGTACCGGGAGATCGCTGGGTAGAGTGTGTGCGTGGCGCCTGGACAGATGGATGCACTTTGCGACTTACTGCGAGCGTTGACTTCTGCCCACAGATCAGCCTATTCGGCAGGAAGTCACCGACCCGACGCCGGACGTGGAGGTGGAGGCGGAGAACGTCGCCGCCACTGTGCATGTCCACGCCTGCTGTGCGAAGCTGGTGAGCATGCTCGACCAATGAGCGGTAATGGGATCGCGATTGGAGACACTTCGGCGGGCAGAGCGCAAGGCTGGTGGCGAGCAGCCGTGCGAGCGCGAAGTTGAGACGGAGACGGAGATGGGTGCTGCGAGACACACTTATCTGACGCTTTATACAACATTGATTACTTGGTAAGTAAAGTATGAGTACAAGAGACCACAACGTGCCCATTAGCAACCTCGTATAAATCAATTCATCGAGCCCAGAGAGGTCGTAACGCTCTGCCCCGCCACCCCGCCAGACGGCAGCGACACGCTCACCGTCACCTTCGTCTTGCCGTTGAACCCAGCGGGCAGCTTGTTCGCCCCGGCCGCCTCGAGCATCTTGTTCGCCCCGGCCACCTCGAGCGTCACGTCCACGCTGGACAGCGTCTGCGACGGGTCCGCGACCGTGAGCAGGCCCTTGTCCACCCGGTAGACCACGATCGCGCCCGCCGACGCCGTCACCGTCACCTCCCCGCACCCGGCGAGCGCGAACGTGGCGTTCCCGCCCGCGGCGTCCCAGAAGACGGCCATCGCGACCCGGTGCGTGGCGTCGAACGCGGCGCTCACGGCCCCGTCGTTGCGCACCGTCGTGAGCGCCTTCTCGACCCTCTTCGCCTTCCCCCGGAACGCGCCCTTGTCCGTCGCGGGGAAGACGGTGTACGCGGTGTGCGCCGCGGCGGCGTCCGCGCCCGCGCCGTGCGCGACCCACGCGGAGAAGAGGTCCGCGGACTGCACGCCCGCGGCGGAGATGCCGAGGCGGCCCCAGTCGCCGGTGCGGGTGCCCCAGTCGACGGAGAGGTTCGTGCCGTTCGGGAAGGAGTACCCGACGTTGTCGTGCCAGAGCGTGCGCGCGTTGGTGAAGTTGCCGCCGGCGGAGAGCGTTTGGTCGTTGAGGACGACGCTGCCGGAGTGGCGCTTCTGGTCGAGGACGGAGAAGACGGGCGCGCCGGACGCGGAGGAGAGGTTCGAGACCATGACGTGTTGGACGTCGTCGTCGAGGAAGAACCACGCCTTCTGGAAGGAGAGCGCGCCGGTGTACGGGTTCGTGTAACGCATCGCGGCGGCCCCAATCGTGCCATCCGAGGCGCCACCGACGAAGGCCTCCTTGCCGGCAAATTTAACCTGGCTGCAGTTGAGGAAGGTGTTGTTGTAGTCGGTCGTGATCCCGGGAATCACTGAATAGAAGACGTCAGAGACTGTAGAGATCACAGATTCCGCTTACGTACTATTCCAATCCCACATGCCAGCAATGTCCTCGTACTCGCCTCCATCGAGGTAGGTGTACAGGGTACCGTCAGACAAATGGAAGCCGAAGGGCTGCTCGCGTGTCAGCACGCGTCGCGAGGTGGTCAAGGAACAGCTTACGTTTTGGTCGTTGGTGCATTCCGTGTTCAATGTCCGCGAGGAGTACATGCGCAGCGTTGAAACGTAGCCAGAACCACGCTGCACCATGTAGTCGTTGTTATAGAACATGCGGTTCCCTTTCAAGGACCCGACATTTGCGTCTTTCGCACTCGAGGTGAGCTGGGTTGCCGCGGAACTGATGACATCTGAGCCCCAGAGCTGACCGAGCTCTCCAAGGAGGGTAGTGTTTATCGAGATGCTCGCAGTCGTCCTGTGCTCCACGTGTTAGTCGCCATGCCATATCCGGTGCCGCATTTGTTACTCACTCCCCATCGGAAACAGCGAAAGAGATCATGCGACCCGTAACGCTCTGTAGCCAAATGAGATGCGTGTCAGAAGAAGCAACAAGACAACAAGCAGACCACGCACAAAGTCCCAGTGCAGAGTGTCGGTGTTGATGTTCTTGTAGATCATCCACAGATTGCCTTCCACAAGCGTCTCGAACGCGCTCCTGCTCTCGCCGCTCGCCGCGAAGTCGGTCCCACCGGCGGTGATCTCGAGCGCGATGACGTCCTCAGAGTAGTCCTTGCCGTAGTTGCCGTTGTAGATGATGCCGTCGTGCTGTCCAAAGCTACCATCGGCACGGATCCCATCGGCCACCGCCTCGTTGTGGACGACGACCTCGGTGTGGATGTGACCAAACGTGTCTTGCACCCCGGTCGTGTTCTCCGCGAGCAGCCCCGCGGCGAGCCCGCACTTGGCGATGTCGAGGATGTTCGCGCCCGCGACGAAGCTCCTGCCGGAGGCAAATGTGCCGAAGCTGCGCATGAGGGTGTTCGTGCAGTTCGCGCGCTGCGTGTCCGAGAGGGTGTCGTTTCCCAACATAAGGCACGTGTCCCCAACAAGCAAAGGCACCCCGATCACCTGTCCGGACGGTGCGGTCAGTCTCTGCATGTACGGTGAGGATAGAGAAGGGGAGCCTCACGTTGGGGAACCAGTTGCCGTTCCAGAAGCCGGGGGTGCCGCACGGACACTTCTTTTTCCCTCCATTGTAGAGGCAGTCGAGGTTGGGCATGTCGTTCGCGAACCAGAAGTCCATCGCGCGTGACGCGGCGGAGAGCACGTTGCTGCTGTTCACGTACGCATCCGCACCGGGTACACCGCCCTGCCATGCGGCCGCGAGGGTTCCTGAAGCACAAAGCGCGTAGCGCGCATACGTCAGATGAGAGGAGCGGGGACGGACGAACGGAGAGAAGACGCACGGATGCGGACCCAGTGGTCCTCCGCGGGCCAGTTCGCGCGGCGTCCGTCGCAGCCGGTGGTGTAGTCGACCTCGGAATCCGGCCATTTACCGTCGTCACCGAGTGTGTCGAGCCTGCTTGAGGTCAGCAATCGGCTCTATGATCGGTGGGAGGGGAGAGAACGTGCCAAGAGTCGATTTCTGGGACCAGCGTGGTGTTGACCCCATTCACCGCGAGCGCAAGGTAACGCGAGCGCATCGTACTAAATTCGGCATCGTCCGTGGCGCGGTCTTGAAATGCCCTGATGGAAGCGCTCCGTCGTTGGTGGGTGAAAGAAGAGTGAACAGCGAGAGGAAGAAGCGAAAGTGAGATAACGAGCGACAAAGGCACAGTCGCCAACATGGCTCGTGAACCTGGAGAGAGAACTAGGGAAGGTGTGGGGGAAGCCAGGGCGTGTTAAGTACCAGCGGGTTCACTCAGGCTAGCCCGTGATGGTTGCATATGGATGTCTGAAACAGTGAAACCCGATGTAGTTCTGTTGATCGAGCACGGCGAGAGGCCAAGTAGACAAGAGTAGACACTGCTTGGCTCCAGAGAGCTGAGGAGAAGTTAGTCGTTCAAGTCCGACAATGTAGACCGGCCCTGCAGAAGACGTGGGCAGCAGGGCTGGCATTCGTTTTCACTGTCAGCCTCGGTAGTGTTGAAAGGTCCTGCCAGCGTCGGGAATGCCCACTATGAGCTTCCCAGGCGCACATGCCCCTGATGGAGCCCTGGTTGCGCAGTGTCAGCTACTGTCTCAGTCGCGTGCGACTCACTCAGCCTCTGAGACTCGGACTGGTCTCCAGGGATCCGGCTGATCGGTGTGAGACTTGAGTCTCAGCTCAGAGCCCGATCGGGTCAAGGGCACGTGCCCGCGCGGAGACACGACAGAGGAAAAGTTCCATGAGAGCCTAGAGGTGTTCAGCTCTTCGCGTATGAACCGACCGACAAACGCACATCTTTAGTGAGAAGGTGGTTGGAACGTTGATCAGTGTACAGGGTGTCTGTTATGTTGCGACCGCCTCGGGTATCATATAGGCACGTGCAAGCTGTGCTGGCATAGCCGGCCGCGCGGGCCTCGTCAGCCAAGGAATCCAACACCGACCTTTGAACCTCCTCCTGACTCACCCTCACAAGGCCCCCGACAAGAAATCTTCGCGCTTCAACTTGGCGTGCACTCGGGTTCAGGGCGGCTTCTACCAAGTTGGAGCCAAGCAGCTGGGGCCAGGTTTCTACACCTCCGACTCATTCCCGTTGAAGTAGGCAAACTTAGACAAGAACGTTACATAGTACGATGAATTGGAGCACCCAGAAACGAGCATCGGTTCCACCCAAACGCGGCGTACGAACAAGCTCTTGGATTCGATGCTGGCATAAGTATGCTGCCCCTCGGACCTGGACATTTGTATCGGCGACTTCGTCATTGTGGCTGGCCCGTGGGATGAGATGAGATGAGATGGATCATAGACGTGGACTCCAAGATGGGTGACACCTGAGCAAGGCTTGCGTTCATTTCCGATGTCCTTCTCTTCCTGACCAAAGCGACACTCGGTGTCCATCCTCCTCCTCCGGTCGAACTCTGACCGTTTCAAGTGCCGACTGTGTACCCGATCCATGCCTGTACATGTGCAAGTACCACCGGGAAGCTGGAGATCACCTGACGACTCTTACTACCACAGCCAGCCTCAAGTTGAAACCTCGAGTGAGTAACGAGAGACGTTGGGAACCTCAGGCGGGCAGAGATTGACGAGCATATCCCCTTGCGATATGGACAGGTTTTGGCCCCGTTGGCCCGAAACGAGGGATTTGGCCCGTGCCTCATATAATCCTCATCCACGGACCGTGGAAGGGCGCGTGCAGCCGGAAGAGCCTTGCGTCGATGGGTCGAGATGTGAGTCGTCTTCTCCGTCCCACCGCCTAGGCTCATACGAACGCATCCAGGAGCTTCTCGTGTGGCTTTTTGAGACCCGCGTATGGCAGCCCAAGTCACCGGGGGAGAAGTTCGTGACGGAGACGCACTACGACGCCGATTTTGCGCGCAAGCACAAGCTGATGGCGACGTTTCACGACATCTACGGTGCCGCGGACCAAGACCCGCTCGACCTCACGCCGATGGGGTGGAAGGAGATGATCGAGAACGTGATCCAGATCGAGCTGGTTACGAAGTGAGCGGAATGTGCGAATAGCAGTGTTGAGTGCATCTTCGATTGCATGGTCTATTCTGCCGGCCGAAGGTGTGCACCATGGCCGGCAAGAGTCCGACGGTAGCATGTTCACCCACACCTCAACGCTCTCGCTCTCCACCACCGGCGAAAAGTCGGTCTGCTTCGTCGCACAGAGTCGACATCCAGACGTGGAGGG